AATTATGGGGTCTTTTTTTTTTTTTTTTTTTTTTTTTTTTTTCCACTCAAGAATCTGTAGTCTGCTATGTTCTTGTAATTGCATGTGAGTGCTGCTTGATCTCTCACTCAAGAATAAAGGCAAGTGGGTACAACATGTTGGAGATGAACAAAGTAAATAACAAGCAAGCGTCATTAATTTGCTATACTTACTAGCCATATAAAACAATTAGGGATGTTGATCCTTAACATTCCATTCATTATGTACCTTCACCAAATGAAGTTTTTTGGAAACTTCTCCTCAACAGTCTCGTTAAAAACAAAAATTCCTTTAACATTACAATTAGGCAACGTGTTTGTGGCAAGTAAACAATCCTGTGTCCATCCCACATCACATGCTTGGGGGCAAGGCACATGTTCCTGGTTTTGACATGGATATGTGGTACACATTTGCATTGGACAGTTAATACCCATCACACGAGATATTTATATTTACAAATCATAGGACTAATGATCTCAACTATGGATTTTATCTAAAATGTATTTATTATAATAATTTTTTTACAATGAACAAGGCCAAGGCCAAAGAAAAACAACTTGGAGATCAAACGGGGATGGGGAAATATTTTTGTACAATGTGTTTGTTTTTAGTAAATCAATGTACAGTTATCATAGTATTAGCTAGTTTGGTATAGCGGTGGGACACTGTTAAACTGAATTTTGTAATAAGAACACAGACTCTAAGACACTTTTGTTTTGCACAATATACAAACGGACACATAAAAGTTTCTCTAGTATATAGCAAACATTTATGAGCCTAATTGCTTGGAACCCATGGATATAAATGCAAAATACAAAATTGTAAAGGATAAACCAACAGTTGTTCTTCGCCAAGTGTATGGCCACTTGATAGGTAGATGCTGTCCTAAATATTTTTGTAGAGGAATAAAAAGAAAGTGAACAAATTCAATAGATGGTGTTCCCCTCAAACGCATATATGGCCACTTGATAGAGATCAGATGCTTTCACAAAAAAAAGATGAAGAAAGTTTAGTCACATAAAATGACCTAAACATTATAATAGTAACATTAAAGTTTGAACTTAAGACTTTTGTATATTTCTTAAATCTCACCACTAAGCCACTTCTAGTGACTTATCATAATTAAGCAATATTTTGTAGCTCTGTAATTAATTTTTGTGACGATTCTAAAGACTTTAGCTATCTACTCAAGAGGCTCTTAATGAATGAGTGGCAGCCTCATACCAAATCCATCAGTTATATTATCCACTCAAATTCAAAATCTTATTTTTAAATAGAAAGATTTTGTTTGGAAATAATAAAATTTATTACGTCGAAATCACAAAAATCCTTTATTTACATAAAAAATTTCTACTTTCATTAACCTATTCACCTAGTATACAGGATAGGAAAATCGTTTTAGAATATAGCTGCAGTTATTTTTAGCCTCTCAACTTAACTACATTCGGAAAAGATATTAAAAGTTAAAACTGTCAATTTTTAAAAACCTAATCCATTTTAATTTGTATAACTTTCTGTTCTCTTCTGGTGC